CGGGGGGGAAGCCGGTGCAAATTACCGGCCCGGTGGTCCGGAAGGGCGCCTGGGGCCCAGTTTCCCCAGCTTCCTCTCCCCCGCCCCCATCACCTTACCGGGGCCTGGCTTCCCCCACCTCTCGTCGGCCCTGTTTAGCTGGTCCGCCCTTGCTGGGGGGCCCGAAAAATTTTTTTCACTGGGGCCCGAACCCGCTCTCGGCGGCCCTGCCTGGGGTAGGGAAGGAGCTTTCTGCCCTTGAGGGATCCCCTCCCTACAGATCAGTGCGAGGGGTTGTGACGTTATTGATATAATCTGGGACCATATAGAACATGATTGCGAACAAGGTCCTGTAGTGGCACCAAATCTTGTATAAAGGGGGTCAAATGAGGTGTCTAATACAAGGTTAGGGTTTGCTGGTTATGATTATGCTGTCTATATGCATGTATCAATTTTGTAGTTGAAGTTATGAATATTGGCTCTATACTGTCTGTTTTTCAAACTTATGCTATGTTTCTGGGAGACATCCCAGACAAGTTGGTGTTAGCTCTGCCTAGCCTGCTTGATGGCCCATTAAGGACCATCAGCTATACAATGGACCCATTGAGAGAAGGCAAATATGCCTTGTAACTCAGCAAAGTATGCAGGAACTTGCCCACTCCAGACTCCATTTTGCTGTAATTTTCCACAGTAAGAACAAAAGAGGTGTTCTTACACCTGGAAAAGACTATATAAGGCTGATGCCTCGTCTCCATCTTGTCTTCAATCCTGCTTCTTACCTCTGGAGGGACTTTGCTACAAATGGAAGCTCTACACAAAGGACTGATGACCCATCCCAGCTGGGGATGTATTCCAGAGACTTGATTTAAACCTGCAGTTTATTTTATCGCTGCTGGAAGCCTGAACCAAGACTTTGCCATTACTGTATGTAATTGATTCCATTTAACCAGTTCTAACTCTCATCTCTATCTTTTTCCTTTTATGAATAAACCTTTAGATTTTAGATTCTAAAGGATTGGCAACAGCGTGATTTGTGGATAAGATCTGATTTGTATATTGAGCTGGGTCTGGGGCTTGGTCCTATGGGATCAGGAGAACCTTTTTTCTTTTACTGGGGTATTGGTTTTCATAACCATTTGTCCTCATAACGACTAGCACTGGTGGTGATACTGGGAAACTGGAGTGTCTAAGGGAATTGCTTGTGTGACTTGTGGTTAGCCAGTGGGGTGAGACCAAAGTCCTCTTAGTCTGGCTGGTTTGGTTTGCCTTAGAGGTGGAAAAACCCCAGCCTTGGGCTGTAACTGCCCTGTTTTAAGCAATTAGTCCTGAATTGGCACTCTGAGTTGGGTCCCGCCAGAACTGCATCATTACAGGGGTGCCTGGAGACCCCCAGCTCTCTGCAGAGTGCCAGGGACGCCAAGCCCGGAGCCACAGGCAGGGCCTATGGGGAAGGTTTCCTAGCCATGCCATGCGGAGACCCAAAGAAGAGGCAAGCTGACCCCAGCAGGCCATCAAAGCAATGGGCCAAGCTGAGGTTCGGAAGGACCCTGGGGCACCTGGAGCTGGGAAGGAGCTTGCTGGGAAGAGCATGAGGAGGAAGATGGCTGCAGGAGAGGGTGGAACGCTCCCAGGGATAGAGGCAGCGAACCCAGGGAAAACTCAGGCTACCAGGCAGCCTGGGAGAGCACCGCTGAGTGGGGCAGATGCTCCTTGACCTGAAGAGCTGGTGGCCCAGACCCTGGGCAAGGAAAGCCCACATCTCGGTGCTCAGGAATCAAAGCTGGAGGAGACACAGCCTGGAGCGAAAGGACACAGGCGATGCCTCCAGCCAGAGCCACAATCCGGCCCATTGATCCAGCCCCAGAGTCAGTTGAGTTTGCAGATATGGGAAAACATCCAGCTGAGACAGAAACTGGCCCCCACGGGCCCCGCTCCCAGACAGGCTCCTGACTCCATCCCCGTGGCCTGCCAATGCCACACCAGCTAGAGCCCTAGTGCCTCCTGGTGACCCAGCACTGCTGTCTGCCCAGCCAGGGACAGCTACAGGAGGGGTGTCTGGGCACAGGGCACCCCAGGCCAGGGGCATGAGGGGCATCTAGCAGGGCAGCAGCCGAGTGGCTCCTTTGGGGAGGACCAGTGTGATGAAACAGGGCATTTCCTTAGTGTTTTGCATGAACACGGTGTGGGTCTCAGTTTCCCTGGGTGCTGCCTGTGTAATGAGGGGGTGGGAGAGGGTTTGTTGTTGCAAAGGACCAGGTGTGACCTCGCCTAGCAGCCGGGACCCCTGGTCACCAGACAGCAGCCTGGTGATGGCAGACCCGGCGACGGGTGACCTGGTGACCGGGAGGCCCAGCCCAGTGGCCTCCGGTTCTGGCCAGTGGGAGGACAAGGGGCTGAGGAGAGAGGACCCTGGTGACCCGACCGGCTGGTTCCAGCCAGGGGGGAACAAAGGAGAGAAGAGAGAGGGCCCAGGTGATTTCTTTGCCCAGGAACGAAGACAAAGGGCGGAAGGGATATAGGGTGGTCGGCGGGGAGGTGGGGGCTGCTGGACTGGGGACAAAGAGCAGTCAGAATCAGGGACAGACCCAGCTGGACGAGGCTGAGACTGGCCAGGCCCGAGGCCCCTGAGAACTGCCCGTGCTGTGTCTAGATGTACAATGAACCCACCTGTGTTACGCTGGTGGAGAGTCATGGCAGGCTAGAGATCAGGGGGCAGGCATTGCTCCCCTGGGTGTAGTGGCCCCGAGCAAGTGGATTCCCTGAAGAAGTATCTGAAGAAGTGAGGTTTTTTACACAGGAAAACTGATGCCCAAATAAATCTGTTAGTCTTTAAGGTGCCACCGGACTCCTTGTTGTATTTGTGGATTCCCTGAGGGGCCCACGGCAGAGCCAGGTGTGCTGATGGCTCAGAGAGGTGCGGACCCAGGAAGCTGTGGAGCCTGGGGAGGGCTGTCAGACTGACGGGGCCATATGGAGCTGAGAGAGCAAAGGGCCTGGGAGTCCGGGACATCTGCCTTCCCGTCAGGAGCGCCCTCCGGCCCTTCTCTCTGCCCAGCAACCTGGAGAGAGGCCCAGAGACAGCCAGGCAGCCTGGCTCATACAGCTGTGACTATGGAACTGGGGGATCTGGCCCTCCGCCCCACTCCCCCTTACACTGCCGCACACCGGTACCTCCTGCATCCCCGGTCCCCTTCGTTTCCTGGGGTCCCCCCACCCAGTTACCTCCCATCTGTCCCCTGTCTGACCAGCCACCGTCCCTGGATTCCCCTCCTCCAGAACCACTGCCTGTCGGTTCCCCTCCACCATTTTCAAACGCCGATCAAACATTCAGTCAAATGCCCCCGCACAGCGCTCACATGTTTGGCAGTGATTCCCTGGGCATTTCGAATCGTTTTATTTCTCAAAACAGCCTGTACAAAGAGAGGGAAAAGCCAGATCCGTGGCCGGGGGCCAGTACGAAGCCAGATACCAAAATGAACCCCAAACGCTCCAACTCCTCCAGGCCCTGCCACCCAGTCCCTTGTGCCTCGAATACGGCCCCTGAGGCCAGGCTGGACCCACACGCCAGCCCCTTCTGGCCCTACCATTTTTTGGGGGGGAGGGGGAAGTCAACAAGGATAATCCTGGGGGGCAGCTGCATCCAAAATCAGCCACACAAGAGTGACACTTCCTAGCACCGTGGCTGGTCCGGTGCCGGACCAGTCCCCGATGGTTACAGGCTGTGGGACCCCCGGCACCGGAGGGTTAAGAACAGGCTGGAGAAACCCGTCATACTCGATCCTGCCTCAGGAAAGTGGCTGGAGCAGACGACCCCCAAGGGTCCCTCCAGCTCTGCGGCCCTATGGCATGACCCTGGTTCTCTGCTTGCTGGGTGCATAGATCCCACGCTGGCCAGGCCAGTTACACAGGGCTCAGGCTAAAATCCAAGATCTCTTCCCATCAGCAGTGTGGAGCGGTGCCTCCATCAGCCCCTCTAACGGGATTTATGAGTTTACCCTGTATAAGCTTTATACAGGGTGTGACGAAGTGGGGTTTTTTTTGTTTTATGTGGAGTTTTCAATGGTTTGCATGTGGAGGGAGTGGGACTCAGTTTCCCTGGGTGTTACTGGTTAATGAGGTGAGGGGAGAAGGAGTTTGTTTTGCAGAGGACCGGAGAGAGAACTTGGGGACCCAGCCAATGGCCTGGAGGATGGATACCCCAGCAACCGGTGACCTGGCGACCCGGAGGCCCAGCTGAGGAGACGCAGCCGGTTCTGGCCAGTGGGCGGACAATGGGCTGCAGAGTGAGGACCCAGTGACCTAACCAGCTGGTTCCAGCCAGAGAACAGAAGCAGGAGAGAAGGCCCCGGTTTACGACCCTGTTTACCTGGAGAGAAGACAATGGACAGAGGCAGAGCCTGAGGCCGATGATTTCAGATGCCCAGCTGGGAGCAGGGGGGCTCGGGGCTGGAGAGGGGGAGCAGGCAGAGCCTACCTGGAGGCAGAGAGACTGGGATGTGCTGGTCTGAGGGAGGCCAGGCCTGAGGCCCTGAGAATTTCCTGTGCTGTGTTCAACCTTCAATAAACCCTCCTGTGTTATACTGGCTGAGAGTCGCTCCGGTCTAGAGAACAGGGTGGCATCAACCCCTTCGGGGGTGAAGGCCCGGGGGGTCCAGAGTGAGTGGACTCCCTGAGGGGGCCCACGGCAAGAAACAGGTGTGCTAAGGCTCCGAGAGGTGCGGCTCCAGGAGGTGGAGGGGCCTGACCCCGAGAGAGAGTGGAGCCCCGCGAAGGGCTGTCTCGCTAACAGGGGCACCCCCCACGGACCACACGGGGCCAAAAGTGGGCACGATCTGTGAGTCCGTGACACAGGATAAAACGGATTTATTTGGCTTTAGACCCCGTTGGGAGTTGGGCATCTGACTGTAAAAGACAGGAACACTTCTGTAAGCTGTTTTCAGTCAAGTCTGCAGCTTTGGGGCAAGTAATTCAGACCCTGGGTCTGTGTTGGAGCAGACGGGTGTGTCTGGCTCAGCAAGACAAGGTGCTGGAGTCCTAGGCTGCCAGGGCAGGAAAGCAAGGGCAGGAGTGGTCTCGGCACATCAGTTGGCAGTTCCCAAGGGGGTTTCTGTGATCCAACCCGTCACAGTGGGTAGCTCTAAGCCCTCCACCATGGCTAGCCACCGGGAGGGCAGGGCTGAAGCAGCATCTGGCTCCCGCCCTGTGGCTATTTGGGCTGGAAGTAGAAGTCGGTGATGGCAGCTTCCCCTGGGTGGGAGGTGAAGCTGATGGGCTCGTTGTCCTGGGCTGAGGTGCAGAGGAACCAGCCCGGGTAGGCAGCAGCCTCGAAGCGATGCGTGCTGCCGTTGTAGGTCTTGAAGAAGGTGAAGCGCTTGGCCTCCTCATCCTTGTAGAAGAGCTCGATGAGGTGCATGTCCTGCGGGCGGGGGAGGAGGGTAGGTTAGAACCAGTGACGCCTCGGGACAGCCAGACACAATGGAGTATGGGGCTGGGAGGCTGATCTGGGCCCCAGGGGCAACTGTTTGTATTGACTAGGGAGAGGGATTGGGGCCTGCTGGCCAAAACCCAGCCAGGCCCATTGAGAGGCCAGGGCCGGTCCCTCCTCTCTGACCTGTGGGCTCAGGCTGTCTGCAAACTCAGACATTGGCTCTGCTCCAGTTCCATTCTGCACAACCAGGACAGCTGGAGATGAACCTTTTCTGTGATGAATCCTGAGAGGGTGGGACACTCCCGTGATCCCAGGAGGGGGGCTCCGGGAGCTGGCTGGTAGGGCCTACGCCCTGGTCCAGCCCTGGCTCTGAGCAGGGTTTTGAGAACTCCGCAGCGGAGACTCAGGGAGGGGCCGGCAGGGGGTCCCTGGCATCGCACTCACCTCCAGCTGCAGCCGGGGCTGCTCGGCTGTTCCACAAGACAGGCCCTGGCTTCCGCCTTTGATGCCCAGGATCAGGGGACACCTCTTGCGCTCCAGCCTTCTGTTGGGGACCACGCTGACCTTTTCTGTGGAGGGAGATCGAGAGGGGAAAATGTGATCAAAGCACGGTCAGGGCCTCCCCAAGGTCACTGACCTCCCAGCATTGGCTGCTTCTGGTCCCCCCTCACTGCCTCATGGCCCCACTGTTCTCCATGGGCCAGGATCCCTGGCTGGACTACATCTCCCAGGATGCATTGTAATAGAATCATGTGTCTTGCATGGCAGTGCATCCTGGGAACTGTAGTCCAGCTGGGGCACCTGGCCCAGTGAGGAGAAGAAGGCTAGTGAACTATAGCCCCCACGAGGCCCTGCAGCGGCTGGGACGACCGCAATTCACTCCCTCCCAGCAAAGTGACATGGAACCTCCCCCCATTCCCAACCCGCCCCTCCCTGGTGGGCGAGATTTGTACTGTTCACCCCAACTCGGGGTGGAAACTAAATTCGAAAGGTGGGAATTTCCCCAGGTTGGGACCTGATTTTTCACCGGCCCTAGGAACAGTGGAGGGGCTGGGTGGGGCTCAGGACCATGCTCCGCCCTTCCTGCTTGTTGCAAAGGGTTCCCCTGAGCAGCCGTTCTGTTAGTGTGCAATGTGCCGGCCGCTGGAACGAGACCAGAAGACCAGCAGAGCGAGTGGGGCAGGGGGCGCCTGGTTCTGCTGGCATCTCAGCCCCTTGGGGTGGGCATCGCTGGCTGCAAACTCCCAGGAGCGTTGTGTGGGGACAGAGCCCCGCCTGGCGTCTCCCAGCGCCCGGGAGCCAAATGGGCTAAGGAAGCTGGAGCCACTGCGCAGGGGGCTCTGGGAAGGGGGTGGCGTGAGGTCACCAGCCGTGAAACCCCAGCAGGGATCCTGGGGGCAACCAACCTTCCTGGCTGGCGTTTTCGCCCTGCAGGTTCGCGGCCACCAGGCTGTTGTCCCGCAGGTAGAAGGCCTTGTGGCTGGTGTCGCGGATCTGGTAATGGAATGGCTGTTTGGTCGGCCGCAAGCCAGGGGTGGGTAACGTCAGAATCTCCAGGTTGTCTTCATGGAGCGTCACGCTCATATTCCCGCCCCCGACATCTGGGAAACAAACCAACAAGCCCATTACCCAGGTGCTGCTGTGTGACCCCCCTCCCTAAATCCGCCACTCGGATCCCCCTACCTGCCTTGCACCTTCATCACTGGGGTCCCCCTCCCTGCCCCCGCACTCCCATGGTTGGGGTCCCCATCCCCCTGACACCAGGGTCCCCAGCACGACAGGGCCCTGATCTCGGTCACGGTCTGGGCAGCGCCCGGCACGACGGGGCCCTGATCACAGCCAGCTTCTCTAGCTGTGGCTACACAGTTGCTAAGACCAGACTCCCCTATGGGGCCCCCAGCTGCTGGTCTCCTGGGTCATTTGACAACCAGGGGCCTGTAGGGACCTCAGCCTCTGCCTCCCCAGATGGGCTCTGGGCTGCGATGGGCGCTGAGGGCATGGGGGGCACAGGGCACTGCAGACAAGTTACTAAGCAGCGTCCACGTCTCCTCCTCTGGCGCAGCCACCCCGAACCCCTGGGTCTAGGGTTACCATATTTCAACAATCAAAAAAGAGGACACGGGGTGCCGCCCTAGTCCCACCCCAGCCCCGTCCCCTCCCACTTCCTGCCCCCCTCAGAATCCCCCTACCTGG